TAAGGTTTACTCATCATATTTCGTTTAAGGTCTCAAAATCCTACATAAAAATGGAAATAATTAATGAATTCTATTGCTTATCGACAATCTCACAAATTGGGAAAAGATCTGGCCTTCCTTTGACTTTGCTTCTGCTCTGTGACCCAATGACATTCGTATGAGAATCGTATGTTTTAGGGGTTAACTGGCCGAGACTATACGCTCCACTAACTGGAGTCGAGTTCCGCCGATGGTGCTGATAAGTCCCAGGCATATGGTCGAAACGGCAGTCCAGTCTGGATGGGAATTCCTTTTGACAAGCAGGGCTATGTGAAATCTAATTGAAACGCAAGGTTTACACAAAATATTGTGGGACTATTTAATTACTAGTCATTGATCACCTTAGATGAAATATGATGAATAGAGTTCTTGCTCAAGATCTACTGGTAGGCTCGAGAACATACTTAAAAACGAAAATAATTGATGTGATCAAATGTATTGTAAATTAAAATTTTGATTGTATGCTCCCCCCACTTTTGTGAACAGGTCTGGTTTCTCTTGAAATTCACATTTGCTCTGGTACCCAAAAGCACTGGCGTAGGGTTTAAAATGACGAGGCTATACACTGCACTAACTGGATTCGAGTCCCGTCGGGGGTGCTGATGAGTCCTAGGCGTGGACGAAACTACAGTCCAGTCCGGACGAAAACACCTTTTGAGAAGCAAGGTTATGTTAAATTCTATGGAAACATAAGACCTACATATATGATTGTGGGAAAATTCAACTACTAGTCAGTCATCACTCTATACGAAATTGGATGATCACACACCCATCCGATAGACGGGTGGACAGGCAGATATGAAGAACTGCCCATCAGAATAATTGTAGACAGACGAATCTCGAGCAAGAGAGGTTGATATTGAAATTTAAAGACAGGTTGGCAGACAGACAGATAGACAGATAGACAGACAGACGGATGGAGATCGAGGTGTGAAGACGGATGGACAGGCAGAAATATACATAAAAATGCACAAAGAAGACAGGCGGATCTACAAACTGGCAGTAGAACAGAGACACGGATAGACGGACAGACAGACTTGAATTTAAACAACTAACTATGGAATGCCAATGCTTGATCACTTACCTGATCGAGTCACCCCTCTCACACTTTGTCAAGTTATTTTTTAATGAAATTTCCTTTACGCGTGTTCTTGCTCAGCCTTTCCAGTTTGATGGCTTCGCTTCTGGTCCTATATTCGCCGACAAACATGGTTGCATTTTTATCTTTATCTCTTTACTTTCACATGGTGTTATCATGCAATTACATCCGCACATCCGCACATCCACATTCACACCCACACTCACACCCAGACTGCAGACTCACGAATTTCTCCTTCATTATGTACTTCTTGCCCTCACTAAGAAGGCTTTACTAATTTTTATTGAGATATAAGTCCATATTACTTCAGGTATGCAGACACCAATGTTTTTTGTATAATTTATGCATTTTTTTCTCATTTTCTTAGGGACATATGAGGTCCGGGTTGTCAGAGGACGCAACGCATGCTAGCTTGAGAAGAGGAACGTGTGCTAAAACATTCAGCTACCTCTTTGCACACTTGTTGTGCCAACTCAAGCATACACTTGGACTTAATTATAACGACCAGAAGCCCATTCACTGACAGACGCAAAAAGGCAAGCTCCAAAGGAATAGGTGAGCCTAATCATAGGTCTCGTCTTGCTCTCCAGCCTAAATGACAAACCAGTCTCTGCCAGACTTTCCTCCATCCCGCCTGTCTGTCCGTCTGTTCATCCGTCCGTTCGTCCGTCGGTCTGTCTGTCTGGCAGTCAGTCTGTCCGTCCTTCTGTCTATCTGTCTGTCTGTCCGCATGTTCGTCTACCCACCTGTCAGGTTGTCTGCCAGCTCGCCATCTTTCTGACAAATGCAATAGACATGGTGTGTCCAAGAGTAAATGTCAATTGCCTTCAGGTGAATAAGAGCTGAAGCAGAGGGAATCTTCACTCGTCTCAACACTTGCGTCCAATTGCCAATTACTCATACAGGCCACCTACGTCAGGTAAAGGCATTAGCCTTGCCTGCTAGGCCCTCTTCACTTCTAGATCCGAGACCGGAACAGATAGTGTGTTGTGACCCATGCTTGAGACAGGGACTCCACGTGATTCTTGGGCTTGGAATCCTTCGATGAGCGGTTCGCAGTGACCTTGTGACTCTTGGAGCGACCCTCGCCTTGGTGACTTCTAAGTGGCTTGTAGACAGCTTTTGTGTCTAGCAGATTGGTTCGCATTGCACCGGGCCCCATCGGCAGCATGAACGGATCCATGGGGTAAGTTGAAGTCTTGACGACGACAAACGGTTCCCAAAGAGACGATATATACGTTACCTTATATCTCTTCATCCCTTCATACTCAGTCATTCTCGGAGAAGTTGCTGGACTCGTTAGCTGGTTGCTTTGATCATTAATCATCCAGGATATGCTACAAATGCTCTGAACGATAAACTGGCGCTAAGATAGAACTCGGTGTAACCACAGCTATGCTCAAAAATGCTATTAGGCCACATGTCTTACTCGTCTCTTCATATTCAGGCTGGCGTGTAAATTGATGAAACCGGCTTTCGGCATTACAATTTTT